TGGAAAATTGATAACTAAGGAATCTTTCCATTTTAAAACAGATATTTGAATTAGGGGTGGGCAAATGCCGACTTTTTTTTCCTCTTTTTTTTTTTTTCCATGACAGAAACCAATAACGGAATGCTTTTATTTTTTCAGTATTGGATACCGACAATTTCGGTATTGGATACCAACAATTTCGGTATACCAAAAATTTTGGCATTGGATACAAAAAAAATACAATTTTTTTTAATCTATAATAAATTTTTATAATTTTTTCACAACTATAAAATTATATATCATATTATCGTGTTTTTTCCTCCTATTCTCTTCGTTGGTTTCCCATCTGGTATCCAGGGTTTCGTCCCGACTAATCCGGATCGACCCGCGTCGCGCACCTGGAAATGGTGGGTGAGTCTCCCAACGAAAGCTGCTGCATACACAAGGTCTCGAACTCGAGATCTTGCTTAAACTGGAACAAGCCGTTTACCACTTGATCCAATCCTTCGTTGGTACCTCCCATTCTCTTCGTAATCTTATTATTATTTTTTTTTTGGTAGAAGATAGGAAACTTCGTAATCTTATTTGCTTCGAACCCCTCTTCCTCCTTTTTATCCTCACCAATGTTCTCTTTCCTTTCTCCACTCTGCAACAGCAAATTTGATGAATATCAAAATCAAAAAAATGAATAACGAAATTTTTGGTGTCCAATACCAAAATTTTTGGTATACCGAAACTGTTGGTATCCAATACCGAAATCTTCGGTATGCAATACTGAAAAAATAAAAGGATTCCGTTATGGGTTTCTGTCATGAAAAAAAGAGGAAAGAAAAAATCCATTAGTTACTTTTCGGTATTGGTTTTCACCGAAATCGCCATATGCCCACCCCCAATTTGAATCGTGCTCATATTATACTATCAACTATTATGCAGTTTTTTTTTTCTTTTCTTACACATCTTAATGGGTTATACAAGAAGATAGTCCTCTTTTTTCCTTAAATTCCTCTTATTTTTTTAAATTATTTCTCATTCGACTTAATATTCGAATTTAAGATTTTTCGTTTAAAATCTCAAATTTTTAATAATTAAACCACACAATATAAAGTGTATTATATCACAATAAAAATTATTAAAATATTAATTTAATCCCTTAACTTTTATATTTATATTAATGTATGAAAATAATTCTTAAACTTCAATTTCTAATACTATTTTGATCCTTCCATTAAAGAAAGTGCAAGGCGTTACATTAAACTGCTAAAA